GCTTTCGGGTCTAAGGTTCCAAAACGTATTCTCTTTTGTTCCTGTCAGGGGCACGAGGGGCCATCAACTTAGATTGAAAAGAAGTCATTGTAGACTAAATTTGCGAGCTAGGTTCTTCACAAACAGAGTTATACCGCTGTGGAATAAACTACCTGAAGCAGCGGTTAACTGTATTAATATCGAATCTTTTAGAGGAAGACTAGATGAATGCTAGGCAGTGGTATTCCCTGAAGTTGAGTGTTGAAAGTTAATCGTTAGGCTTTACTTTCCGAAAATAATATTAAGGGAATCAGATACTGCACACTAACATTCTGCGTTTCAGAAACTACTATTAACTCGAAGTGCTGGAAGCCAACGAAACCGCCGACAACACAAGGAACTGGACGAGCGATTGGCAAGAGCCACAATTCGTCCTGTGAGAACTGAAATGAACTTGCTCACCTTTTTGGATGAGGTAACTAAGAGGCTTGACGAAGGTCAGCAGGTTGAGGTCTGCTACCTCGACTTCTGTAAAGCCTTCGATTCAGTCAGCCACAGGTTACTAGACCTCAAGCTACAAGATGCAGGATTACACGGGGCAGTGAGAAATTGTATAGTGCAGTTCCCCGGTCATCGCACGTTCTGTGTGAAGGTTGGCGACTAGCTGAGCTAACCTGCAAGAGTAACAAGCGGGGTGCTTGAAGGTTCAGTTTTAGGACCATGACTGTTTTTAAGTTACATCAACGACTTGACACGGGATCTCCAAAATCCATGTATCATGTTCGCGGACGATGTGAATTTTGCAGGAACAAACCTAGAGTGTGATGTGGAAGCGGTTAGACAATGGTCAATTCAGTGGGACTTACCATTAAATATCGAAAACTGTCATCTCCTAACTGCAAGAGCGGATACCCTTCGGGACCGGAAGCTAGCACTGCAGCACACGGATACCGTTAAGTACTTGGGAGTCATTCTCACGAAGAGTTTCAAGCCTGAATCTCAATGTCTGAAGGCAGCTAAAAGGGCTCCTGGTGAACTCTTCAAGCTGTGTGTATTTCATGCCGAATTTTTTGAAAATCCTTCCGAACCCATAATGATTTATGGTGCAATAACTTTATCTGTGATTCTCTAATATTGACATTTCTCGATCACGAACACCACACATCATTATTTATCCGTTAATTTGGATGCCCGGCACATTTGAATTTGGCGTGGTTTGAGAACGGGAGCGACTATTTACCTCTCTCTGGACATCTTATTTGGCTCGCTTGTTCGAGTGCTTTTGGCCACATATTTGGGGTTTAATTTATTGTACATTTGTAACGATTTCGCTTGTTCAGCACCGTAGAACATTGCGGATCAATTGTGTTTTTACTTCGGGATTCGTATCGGTTCGGCTACGCGTCACTCAAGTGCGAATTGGTTGACGTACAGTACTCAAATTGGAATCACACGAGAAAACTATTTCAAAGATGCCCAGGCGAGGAACCAAGGAAACTGGAACCCAACAGGAAGTAACCCGGCAAGTCACTGGGGGGNGGGGGGCTGTGGGTCATTTTGATTCTTTAGAAAATGTTAGATCTGTTAGTCCTGTCAGTGCTGTTTCATGTGTAGATTCAGAAATTAAGGATATTGATATATTTAGATTGCGGGTTTCTGAGTTAGAGCATGAGTTGAGATTAGCTAGACAGCAGATAGAACAGGCCAAACGTGAAAGAACCGAATACAACGGCACAACATCACCTCGAGCTGAGACTGCACACCGTGGCTTCCCTCCGAATAAAGAATTCGCCCCTCAGCAAAAAGCGTATGCCCACGTAAACGTCGATTTGCCAAGAGTCGAACTGACACCTTTCGATGGTAATCCCGAACAATATTGCCAATTTATTCGCCAATACGAAAATTTCGTTGAATGTAAAACCGACGATGCAGGGCAAAGGTTTCTGTTTTTGCTACACTACTGTCGGGGGAAGGCCAAAGAGGCTATACAAGGGTGTGCAATGCTGGACCCGGAAATGGGCTACCCGAGAGCCAGAAATATTCTGAAGGAGATGTTCGGCCAACCATTCCGAGTGGCACGAAACATGATTGACGGGGTGCTAGCAGAGGCGAGGCGCACAAGAGGCAATACCAGTTCTTTAGCAAACCTGGTCATCAAGATGCAGAACTGCAGCATCGCCCTAAACCACCTCGAATATCGGTCGGATCTGGATGCACTTCACACGCTGGAATCGATTGTCAGATGTTTGCCGGCCGAAATGCAGACAGCCTGGGCGGCCGATGCCGATCAAATTGAGAAAAAGAACAGAGAGGCGACATTTGACGAACTCCCACAATTCATAGGTTGTCAATCTCGTATAGCAAATAGTCGATTCGGTTAACTGGCGAGGGACA